ATACAGCACAGTTCTTCATGAGAAGCTAATAGTTGCTCAGTTAGTCAGTAAATTCTCTCCTTTGAAAGATTATTCCTGTATTCACAAGAGCCATCTATACCAAGATCCCCATTCTCTTTAGGTTTCTCAGCTAAAATTTTGTGTGCATTTTTCATCTCTTCCATGTTTGTTACTCGTTCTGCCCATCATGCAAGTTATGCAAAAAGTACAAATTGTGAAATTCCTCATGTGCAGTTTTCCTTAGCCTCCTGTTCCCTCTCTTGGCACCTTCAATCTGTGTTCCAAGTCTGCATATACAAAACAACGGTGTGTTTAGAAGTTTTCAAATACAGATCTGACAAATTTAAAATAGAAAGCATGCATATTTTTAATAGCCGTGTGCATCATCACCTAATGCATCGTTTGCCAACCTAATACATCTCGAGGGCCAATTTAGTTTATAGAACACCATCAGGGGCCAGATACAGTGTTTCTTTCAGAAGAGTGGTCGGGGAGTATTGCCCCTCAAACTGAATCAGTAACCCGTGTAAAAACAAGTGCATTTAAACCTATGTATTTAAGTAGTTACTATAGGATTCTGATGATGGTGTATAACACACTGATATGTTGGGATTTTGGACTTTATCCATCGTCCTGGTTTTTAAGATAACAAATAAAAACACCACACTGGACCAGTCCAGTGATTGAGGCTAGCTCTTTCTAAGGGACCCAACTGAATAGGTGTTTTCCTTCATCTGAGGACGGAAACAGATCCAGTTTCCGAAACGTCGTGTTTTTATTTGTTATCTTAAAAACCAGGACGATGGATAAAGTCCAAAATCCCAACATATCACTATGTATTTAAATATTAAGTTGCACCATTAATATTAAGCCGATATTGAATATTTCACAAATCAATTTTATTCCTATCACTTCTACCCCTAGAGCATTTTTTCTTAAAGAAACATTGGCCAGATCATGCCTTATGTTTAGTTTTATATATGCCGGGGAAAAATGCAATTATAATTTAAGAAAGAAAAAATAAAATGCCTTGAAATTTGCAATTACTTACCATAAAACAGCACAAATTCCTCTTTCAGCATGGATGAGCACAAAAGACTTTCAATCATAGTCCTTATGGTCTAATGATTATACCTGAATCCTCATATACACACTGTTTTAATGAGAGCACTGTGGTTTCATAAACCTGGAAACCAATGATATAAAATCCACTTCTAATTGTGAGGTTGCCACTCGAAGAATATGTGATAACATGAAATTTGAAAGTCTGTTCCTGTTCTCAGACTTTACATGCTTCAGTGATGAAAACGCTGTTTTGCATATGTAAGTACTTGCAAAAACAGAGCAAAGTTTGAGAGCCCAATTTCGTAACAGTGGGTAACGTTTTGGTGAAAGCAGTTTCAAAAAGTCAATTCCAGTAACCTGAGATGTGTTTAAGGATGGGTCACATTGAAGTTCACAAAGCTCTAATTGCAGATGACCTGGCTGAGATTCTGTATCACAATCTATAGGATTACTGAATAAAGAAATATCAGGTCTAAAGTTTTCAAAATCATTAAATCGTCGGTCGAACTCTGAAGACAAATCTTCAATAATTTCACTGTAGTCCCTAAACTCCAAGCCGCCTTCTGAGAGTTTCCGACAGCAAGGGAAATGTAGGTTATTTTTGTCCAATGCAGACTTAAATAAAGGTAGCTTTTTACGGAAACTGTCAACAAAGCCAACCATCTGACATATTGTCTGCTTCTTGCCTTGCAATTGCAGATTCAGGACATTCAAGTGTTGAGTGATATCAGTGAGAAAGGCCAAGTTTCTCAAGAATTCGACGTCTTCGAGATCATTCTGCAGTTCAGCAGAATTCGTAACCTCTTCTCTTAGGAATGTTGCTATTTCATGACGGAGTTCAAAGAACCGTACCAGACATTTCCCACGGCTTAACCATCTTACTTCAGTGTGCAGAAGCAGGTCCCCGTAAGCAGAATCCATTTCTTCCAAGAGGGTCAGAAATTTTCTGTGAGTGAGTGATCGATTTCCTCCTCTGATCAAATTAGTAATTTTTGTGACAGTAGCCATGGTGGTAGACAGTTTAATTGATTTGGCACATAGAGCCTCCTGATGTATAATACAATGCAAGGTAGGTACAGTAATTTGATTCTGTCTTAAAAATCCAACAAAACCGCTTATTGTCCCTGTCATTGATTTAGCGCCATCTGTTACTATGGAGGACAATTTTTCAAAACCACCGAATTCCTCCACTGCACTCTTAACAGCGTTAAAAATATCGACACCTCTAGTTGTGCTGTGTAAAGAGCACACTTTTAACAACTCTTCGAAAATTGTAAAATCTTCCTTAATTGCACGAACAAATATCAGCAACTGATTAGTATCCGAAACATCTGTGCTTTCGTCGAGAGCAATTGAGAAATAGGAACAATTAGCGATAATGTCTTTCACATTATTAGATATCTGGTTGCTAATATCTTCCAGCCTCCTAGTAACAGTCTGTTTTGAAAGGGGCACTGTTTGAAATTTGTTTCCTACCATATTTTCATTGAAAGCTTCTGCCATCTTTATCGCTCAGTTCTTAATTAATTCACCATCACTTAATGCTTTTTTAGCTTTCATTAATTTATATGTCATGAAATAAGAAGCCAGCAAAGCTTCTTCTTCTTGTTTTGTTTCATTGGTAAAAAGAGATTTCTGCTGGAAAAGTTTTTTCTTTAACTGATCGCAAACTACTTTCCTCGATTCTCAAGAGTGTTTTCCGAACTTCTGTTTATGATTTGTCATGTAATGCCTCTTTAGGTTGTACTCCTTTAAAACTGCTAGCACTTGAAAACATACTAAACACTGTGGCTTGTGGTCTTTATTTAATATAAAAAAATAGTCATGTTCCCACTCAGATTTGAACGCCCTATTTTCGCTATCAACTTTTCTCAATTTACTATTTGACATGCTGTATCACTCACAATAACTTCAAACACAATTTTAATTTAAAAACAGTTCTACACTCACACTCCGTAATCACACTTCACTTTCTAAAATCGCACTAACTGGGAGACATTTCTGCTAAAACTGGCAATTAACAAAGGCCAGGATGCTGAGAGAAACGGTAAACATCCCATCCCCGTGAGCAAACGGAATGGTTACTATTTTGAAGGTGTCATAAATCCTTCACCACTACGGTCATCCCTTCAGTGTCATCTCCCTACAGAAGTAGGGTTGGGGGACTTGGAACTTCCATGACATGAACACAGTTATTAGAAAACAGTTTGAACTGTCCAACTCGGTAAGAACGTATACAGTCAATTGCAAGATGCTGTAAGCTAATGAAACGTCCTATTAGAAACTGAATTCTATGCAAATACAGCTGTGAAGTTAAGATTTTTTAAAATAAACCTGAGACTTGGCGGGGGCCCGGAGTAAATCAAGTCGCGGGCTGCCAGTTGGTCATCGCTGACCTAATGAATGTCATTACGAGTATTCTTTATGTATGGCATTTTTGTGCTGAATTGCTCAGATATTAATGTAATAGTCATTCATTCATTCACATGGTTCATAAATGATCTAAGAAAGTATTTGGTCCATTATAGCTATAATAGAATTTATCATGAGTTGCTAACAATTGTATTTGTACCCTGTTTATTGGTATTGTGACGTGACGCCTGAAAGCCGGAATAGTTGAGTTACATCAAAGTTGATTTCCTGGGCAACGAGTATCAACAGAGCACATTCCCATGAGACTATTACACATGCATTTCCATGGAAACACTCGACTAGGCATATAGGTTACTGTGGAACTGGAGGTGTTTCTATGGTAACGTGTGTTTAGGCAGACAGTTACTACAGATGCAAAATACAGAAGTCTTTGAGGCGGAGTCTGCTATCACGGCCGCCTAACGGTTGTTACCAGAGTTCAGAAGCGAAGAGAGACCCAGAAGACAGATCACACCAGGTGATAAGATACTGGACAGAAGGCTCAGCTAAGAACCAGAATAATTGTAATTGTAATCAACTTAACCAATAAATTGCTTATGTAGGATAAACATCACACTACCAACTCCTAATAATATTCTGTACCTTTGGTTTCCAGATAAACTGCAAAAAATATGTATTTTCTGCTCAGATACAGTAAAATCTCAATGTATGTGTGGTATATAAATCCATCTTAAATCAGTTCTGACATCCATATGTGGCCCAAGAATTTAATGATGGAATATATAGTAAAGGTATATAAGAGTAAATCAGAAAATTAATTTATAAACAATATATGCCTTATTATATTTTATGATTGTGCATCAGTACCTGTACTGTACCTCCATAAGGACTGTTTCACTTTGGTTTACTAGATTCTACATTACTACATTTGGTAGGACCCCTTGGGTGGGTGATCAGCTTGTCGCAAGGCCTCTACCTGTACACAAACACAGAAAAAGCCCCCCACGCACACACCCAGGCCCTGAGTGCAGTTCGAAACCACAATCCCGCCTTCTGAGCGAGCAAATCCAGTGCATGGCTGAGACTGCTTGGGTTTGGGATCCCCCAGTATATACTGACTGCTTGAGCTTGCTGCACAGGAGCTGTTCAGTGATACTGAAGAGAAACTGTAATGGGAATATATTGTTATTAACTTGCAACAAGCATGTATCTCTGCCACCTGAATGGCTGAACGATTTTCAGGTGGCCCTCGTGTTATATGTCCATCTTACATGTTATCAGTGGAAGTTAGGATTTGTAACAAAATCAACTTAGATTTCTCAGATTTATTATTTTTTGGCAGTTTTCAGTTGAATTTAATTGTTTTCTGCATACTTACCTCAGTTGAACAAATGAAATAAATTTTGCTCATTTCAAATTAATTTTCTCTGTATGTTAAGGAGACAGGATACTTGGAATGAATTAAGGCTGTCACATATTGTGATGTCAGGGTTAATATGGTTGACAACATCCATGTTGAAAATATATGAGAAATACTGTTATTTTCTGAAGAAGCTGTTTACTTTATAAATAAAAATGACAATTTCATATTACAACTGTATACTTCCAACCCCTACCAGAGAATGTCCCGCCTCTAGTTATCAAAACAGCAGGATATTTGCTACATAATTAAGTATAATTATAATGGATGAAAGATTTCTTATTGGACAATAAAGACAAATATATTCTGCTGATCTGAAATTCTAGAAGGCAGAAGAATCATTTTACCAATATGGAACATCAGATTATCTGACTGATGTGATGGTTTTGCTGTGGTGCTAGTGTCCATTATCTTCAGAAGTTAGACAAGCATCAGAAAGGGCATATGTAAAGTACTGCTGTGTTTTTATCCTACAGTAGAGTAGTTGAAGTTTGTAGACTACAATCTATGCAAATCCTCAAATTAGGATGACAAAATTTAACACAAGGCTCTGTATTAGGGTATGAGGGTGCAAAACGTTTCAGGTGACGTTATTTTAAACCTACACTGAGTCCTGATGTTAGATTATTGAGTACTTATGATACTTCCTCCTTTCTTTTCTTATTTGTTGGTTCATTTAATAATCTCAAATAGTATATATAGCATGGAATTAAGGTTTTAAATTTAAAATTATTGCATGCAAGTTATAGAACAATTCAGTGGTAAATTTTAATCTTATTTTCAGTACTTGTGTCACAAGTAATTTAGGATATGTGTGTCTATATATATAAAACCCTCAACACAACAGGGTGCATTCCTTGAAGAGTAATGTAGGAATTTACTTTTTATGAGGAATTCACACATTTGAGATATAGATGTGAATATTTAAAATAGGACTTTGGAAATATGAGCACCACTGTGCATTAACACTCTTATATTCATCTAATAGAGGTCTAGTATCAAGTGTTTGCACATTAACAGCATACTGTGTTTCTTTATTCATATAAGCTGATGATCCTCGCTTAGGATGTATGCTGGTTTGCACTGTCTTTACTTAAAATGTAAATCATTGAAAATATTTTAAACATCAACTTGCTACCTCTGAGCTGACATTGACTGTGGTCAACCCAGATGTATATTGTTGACTTCAAAAGAAATTTCCAATGTTAAATTATATAATATCAGCATGTATCATAGTGATACACATACATAACTTAAATCGCAACAAATACAAAATGAATGACTACTTACTATATGTCTTTATTCTAGAGTAGGAAGTACGTGAAAAGTGTTACCTCATTGTACATTACACATTAATGATAACTAATTTGTAAGTGCAGAAAGAAGATTAGAAACACAACACTGTTCCCAGATCAGTACCTCATAAGAAATAGATCACAGATACAAACACAGTAAGAGATAAAGTTACACCAACTGTTGCCAGTGTGAAGTCATTGTCGGGCAGTGTTTCATGCAAATGAAGCTGACTTTATGTAGCAAATAGGTTCTCCTCCAGTATTTTCATTAGAACAATTTTTTCTGTAATCTTTTGCTATGTAGAATTGTGTAGAAATGATGTAAAAATCATAGCAGTTATTATACTTGTCAGGTTACAAATTGCAAACTGGCAGTTACATCCATATGGGTGGAGCAGACTCTTTCATGTATTCAAAACGCTGATGCATCAAGATGGGCAGAATCAGATGTTGACCTTCTGACAGTGCTGACCTGCTTGAGACACTGCAATACTTCTCAAGCTGCGGGACCGTTCAAAGAGGGATGGGTCTGTGTAGATGGGTTCACTGGGGTCATCAAATGTTCGGGCATTTCCAGCTGTTGAAACAATGGATGTATCGCCATTATGGATTTGTGTCTTGCAGCCTGGTGGTCTTGGAATGCTTGAAGAGAAGCTGTTCAAGTCATATATACATTTTATTACACATGTGCAAAATTGTGTTACTCATTTCACCATCTGTATCATTCTGTTTGCTCATCAGTTTACTTTCTTCAGCTTTCCCATCAGCCAACACTCTTAGAATTGCAAAAGTATTGAATCTCAAAATACGAGGTCTGACAATAAAGTTCACGAACTCGCCACCATATACTTGCAGTGGCAGCAGTGGACAGAAACCTCAGTATGGTTTCATGACATTGGCATTTCAGCTTTTCACAGCTGTGGTGTTGTTGATCTATTGCAGTCTCTTCCTAAGTGGCATCTATTATTGTCCGAGTGTGTTTTGGTGTGCAGTAGCAAGAATGTAGGAGCTTGAATTAGAGCAATGAATGAGCATTCAATTTCTTGCTAAACTTCGGAAGAGTGAAATCAGAGAGATGTTAGTGCAAATTTACAGGGATAATGCTATGAAGAAAACAGCAGTTTACAAGCAGGTGACACGTTTTTCTGAGGGAAGAGAAAGTGTCACTGATGAAGAGAGATCAGGACAGGCAGCAACGAGCAGAACTGAAGAAAACATTACAAAAGTTCGTCAAATTGTTCATGAAAATTGTTGGCTGACTGTCAGGAGCATAGCAGAGCAAGCAAACCTCAACACAGAAACAGTCAGGAAAATCTTAACTGAAGATCTTGACATGAAGAAGGTGTGTGCAAAATGGTCCCAAAGGAGCTCACTGAAGAACAGAAGCAAAGAAGAGTTGAAATTTGCTAGGACCTTTTGGAGAGGCAAGATGACATTCTGGGCCATGTCATCACAGGTGATGAAACATGGGTCTACCAATGTGACCCTGAAATGAAGTGGCAAAGTGCACAATGGAAGACTGCCAATTCTCCATGACCAAAATGTCCTGTCAGTCCAAATCAAGAGTCAAAACAATGTTGCTAACTTTTTATATTAGAGGGAATGTTCATTATGAGTTTGTACCAACTGGACAGACAATCAACCAAGTTTACTATTTGGAAGTACTGAAAAGACTTTGTGAAAAAATATAAACGACCCGAACTTTTTGCCAACGACTCATGGATCTTGCATCAGGACAATACACCTGCTCACACAGCACTGTCTGTGAGGGAGATTTTAGCTAGTAAACAAAAAACTGTGCTGGAACACCCTCTCTATTCACCGGATCTAGCCCCCAGTTATTTTTTTCTGTTCCTAAAGATGAAATATTGAAAGGAAGGCATTTTGATGACACTGATGACATCAGGAGTAATACAATGGCAACTCTGAAGGCACTTCCACAAAACCAGTTCCAAAATTGTTCTGAATGGTGGACTAGGCACTGGCATCGGTGCATAGCTTCCCAAGGGGAGCACTTTGAAGGCAACCACAGTGATATTTGACAATCAGGTATGTAGCACTTTTGCTGTGATGAGTTTGCAAACTTTATTGTCAGACCATGTACATTCAAAATATCTGCCTTCTTTAGTTATAATATTGTTCAATGCACATTTTTAAATTTTACCAGAGTCATAAAAGCCTTTATTAGTAAGCTGGTAGTCCACATTTAAGAATTCTTCATTGAAGGTTTTAGAAGTTTGTATGAGGACTGATCATTAAGCTCCCTGAAAGGGGTTACAGAAAACAAGCTGCCGGTTGTACTACTTTAAAAGCACTGGAGTTGAGTGCCATTCTGCAGAACCTTTTGTTGAATATACCAAAATGTTATACAGAGGTGCCAGTGATCACCTGCAAAATTTTTGATGACCATGGTAAACAACATTTGTATGAGGGAGGATCAGTAAATAGGTCACAAATGGAAGTAAGACAGCTGTAATGGATGTAATAGGTTTTCCGTGTGTATCACTAGGTTGGTTTAGAAGTAAACAGAGAAAACTAAGTATATGTTGCTGTCTCGTCACCAAAATACAGGGCAAAATCATGACATAAAGATAGGAAACAGATGTTTTGAAAATGGAGCACAGTTTAGGTATTTGGAAACAACGATAGCAGATCAAACCCTGATTCAGGAGGAAATTAAGAGGCGATTGAACTCGGTTACTGCTTGCTACCATTCAGTCCAGAACCTTTTGTCTTCTTGTCTGCTGTCCAAAAACATAAAAATTAGAATATACAAAACTATAATTTTGCCTGTGGTTCTGTATGGGTGTGAAACTTGGTCTCTGACATTAAGGGAGGAACATAGACTGAGGGTGTTTGAGAACAGGGTGTTTAGGGGAATATTTGGACCGAAGAGAGATGAAGTGACAGGCGGTTGGAGAAAATTGCATAATGAGGAGCTTCATAACTTGCACTCTTCTCCAAGTATAATTAGAATGATCAAGTCAAGGAGGATGAGGGGGGCAGGGCATGTAGCACGAATGGGGAGATGTGGAATGCGTATAGGATATTGGTGGAAAAACCAGAAGGAAAGAGACCACTGGGAAGGTGAAGGCATAGGTGGGTGGGCAATATTAAAATGGGTCTTAGAGTGGTAGGATGGGATGGCATGGATTGGATTGATCTGGCTTAGGATAGGGACCAGTGGAGGGCTCTTGTGAACGTGGTAATGAACCTTCAGGTTTCATAAACTGCTGGGATTTTCTTGAGTAGCTGCAGAATTGGCGGCTCCTCCAGAAGGGCTCAGCTCCGTGAGTAAGCAAGTAATCACTAGGTAGCAGCACAGAACCATTTGACCACCTGATAGCAAAGGTTATTAGACCCCTAGAATGCATCCTTCCTTATCAAACTGTTGGTTAAGGGAAGTGTTTCATTCAAGGAGGGTGAATGAGTCATGGCCAATCCCAACAGCAGCAACAGACTCAATGAAAACATCAGAGACATAGAAAAGGAGGCTATCTGCTATTTTACTGATGGCTCAAAAATGTGTAACTGGGAATTTGTAGGCTTCTCATGTGTGACAGCACCTGGAGAAATTATGCATCAGTATTGGACTGCAAAGCATTCTCAGTATTTACTGGAGAGACAAGAACTGTCCTGAAAACTGCAGAGATAATTAGTGAATACCAAGGAGAATCATGTTCCATATTGTCTGACTCAAAAAATTTACTCATGTGCATTCACAAGAGATTGTTAACTAAACAACACTCAATATTAATCCTGTAAATAAAAGAAAAACTACTGGAATTGAAGAAACATAAAAGGATATTAAATTTATGTGGATCCCAGCACATATAGGTAGTCCTCAATGAAAGAGTAGATGTATCAGCGAAGTTGAAGATGCTCAATACTTGATGAGCTACTGGAAGACCAAACAGAGTAGCAGCCAAGGAACAGTAAAGAGAACCAGGAAAACAGAAAGTCCTTTGAGTGCTACTACCAAAACAATGGAACACCTTGGTTCTAGAGACTCAAGTTTCAAAGAAAATTTATTATCTCAATAAGCAGAATATGAAGTGGCCAATATTGTCTGAAGGAGTGCTCTTATTTGATTTAATATCATTAATACAGAAACGTGTGAATGTGGCAATGCCAAAGAAACTATGAATGAATTTAGAATTCATACATGACCTCATGAAATGTAAAATATTCCCACCATACTGTAGCGAAGGCATTCTGCACCATATTGTAACATGGGTGGCACAACGGGAAGTAGAGATCACGTGAACTCTGCAGTCTCGCGAGTGACGTCACATACCCCCACCCCTTCCATTATTACACAACGCATGGTAAACACTCCGTCGCCTCCCATGGTGACGTAACAGCGGACACCACGGTTACTACACAGCAATAAACAACTCTCAGCAGCATTCCCCAGCAACGTCCGTAAACACGACGATATGCAACAGTGGTAGCTATTACATAACTGTTTTCTGTGTTGTCAGTGCAGAAGCTACATAAGGATTGAGTAGTGAGTATTGAGTTACAAGTCGAGTTGTATCGATTGAATGGCAGTGACTTCAGCAGGAGAAGTAATTGTGGAATTGTAAATTGTGTAAGTGTAAGAGCGAATGTGGAATAAATTCGCTAGATCCAAGATGGCATGAAGTTATTTGTCGCGTGCATACCCAACACGTGACAATAGTCTACTAGAAGCAGTAATCCTGGTAGTGCAATTTATCAATAGCGTTAATACAGGTCGTGCCTCAATATCCTGAACCTTTGCTTCAGTCATCACAATCTTCTTCAATTGCTTCTTTATGTCACACACTGCACCTGTTGCCTGCCACTTTTTCATAAGCTTGGATACACACAACTTTGTGGGAACTGGCGAGTCATGATATTTATGATGAAACTTATGGATACATTTTCTGTGAGTTTTCTTCCTTGCAAGAGTTTCGACAATAAACACGCTGTGTTCATTTCAGTATCAATGTCAACTGCCTATCAATACCTCTAACACAGACCAGCTATTAATGCAACTTACTGCAGTGACAAGATCAGACCACCTGACGGCATGTTTATCAGTGATATTGGCAGTTACAGCGGCACTCTGTGAGAAATGTTGTTTTTGCTCTATGGTGTTGCCAGGTTTCCTCGATCATTGAACATAATGTATAAGAATATAACTGCTTTAAGGATAGTTCAAAGTTAAAGCCATATTTTTATACAGGAATAACTAAAGAGTATTCTAAAATTGTATTTTCCAGCAAAACGGGCTTTTCAGCCTAATGCCATTTGTATCTTTAAAAGTCTAAGTAGCAGATGTGCATGCCCATGTTCAGAGGCTGGTTTCGGTAGTCAAACTGGTAACCATGCTTGAGGAGTGTACTACCACTGAGCAAAGTTCTGTAGTGAATTTTTGTGGGCAAAAGGACTCAATGCCAAGGATATTCATAAAGAAATGTTTCCTGTTTAAGGAGGGAAGTGTTTGTCGTGTAAAGCTGTTCACAACTGCGTCGAGAAATTCTCTCATAGACATGCAAAAGTCACAGACGATGCCCAGGCAAGGAGGAAGTGGCTGAGACAGCAGCCAAAAGACCTCTATGCTGCTGGCTCCGACACACTGGTAAAGCAATGGGACAAGCATATCAGATGTTGGCGGAGGATATGTTGAGAAATAAATGTTTTTTCCAGGTTTGAATATCACATGTTTTGAAGAAAGCAGTCTTCTGGATGTGGCACTGTGTAGATGTGGTGTTAACCGACGTTTCGGAGGAAAGTATCGCCTCCATCTTCAGGGTAGAAGGAAAAATAAGAAATCCACAAGCAAAGAGACCGTGAGAACTGGTGCAAGCAGACTGCTTGTAGATAAGTTCTGGTATCTGTCAACTGAAGTATATGGCATTACATTCTGGAAGACTTTCATTTTAATGCTTGACCCCATGAGAACCTGAACAGGCCGCACCATAGCTCAAGTGGTTAGTCACTGGCTTCCCACTGCAGTGGCCCGGGTTCGAGCCTGGGTCTGGTCAAGTCGGATTTGTGGTGGACAAAGTGGTGCTGGGGCAGGGTTTCTCCGAGTACTTCAGTTTCCCCTGCCAGTCTTCATTCCACCAAATTTTCCATCATGATAATCACCTGGGGAAGGTACAATAGGTCAATCAGTGTTCGAGTGGACCCAACTGGACTCTACCCCCCACTATGCGAATTTAAAAAAAATTTAACAATGAGAACCTGAACGCTCTAAAGGATTACTAGTATGATCTGAAGACACTGACTCCATCAAAAGGCATTAAATCAGTTAATCTTGCAGTCTGCTTTTACCGGTTCTCACGGTCTCTTCACTTTGCAGATTTCTTATATTTTTTCTTCTACCCTGAAGATGGAGGCGATACGTTCCTCCGAAACGTTGGTTAACACCACATATACATGGTGCCAAATCCCAGAAGACTGCTTTCTTCAGTTAATCTTGTTCATTAAAAATGACTTTGCAGTCTTTCAAAATGTGGAAGGAACATACAAAAACATCTGGCACAAGAGTGGGACAAAGTTAACTATGCAGTGATTGAAGCCTCATTGCAGCAACTCTGTGATCAGTCCTTGTGTTCATATGGTGGTGTATACACCCGTTTCAAGGTAATGGCCCGTACACACACAACAGAGGAACGCATCATGTCTGCGATGATGCAAGAAGCAACAGAAGAGGGATTGCAAGCGGTGTTCTCTGTGGGTCTGCTCCAAGGCTCATCATCATCATCAGTAATCTATCAGACGACAGGTCCACAGTCTCTTCCAAAACAATTCATCCACTTAATGCGATCTAGAGCTTTCTCCTTCAAATGACAGTATCCTCTTCTGTCCCCAAGGTCATCCAGCATCTTCTTACGTCTTCTTGTCACTTCTATCTGCCCCTCTATCTTTCCTTCAATAACTTCTTTTAGAAGGCAGTTTCTGCGTAAAACATGACCAATCCAATTAGCCATCCATATTCTTATTTTGTGTAGGATATTCCTCTGCTCACTGACTCTAATTAACACTTCTTCATTTCTCACATAATCGGTCCAACTGATCTTCTCCATCCTTCTCCAACACCACATTTCAAAACTTTCCAGATGTTTCTGATCTACTGCCCTAAGTGTCCATGTTTCAGCCCCATACAGAGCTATGCTCCAAATGTAGCATTTCACTAGTTTCTTCCTCAAATTTAAGTCCAATTTGCTGGTAAAAAGATTCTTCTTCTTGCTAAATGCAGCTTTTGCCATGGCAAGGCAAGGCCCCAAGGCTACATGACTCAATTGTCCAACTACAGTTTAGTTAGGGAGTACAGTGCAGTTGAGAACAATCAAACGAATTGAGTTGGTGAGAAATTAGAGGACAGCTGCAGTTTAGTCAGGAGCTGAAGCTGTTTGATGCTGGCGGCTGAGACTCATGGCAACCCAGAGTAAGGGGGATGTCCACTATTGGAAGCTGTTACCAGGCTATGGCTAGTGGAGACTGTAATAGACTGAAAACACTAGTCTGACAGTGACTTGTGAAGTGTAGTAACAGGTTGTATAAGCGTGCAGTAAATCCAATTACCAATCCAAACCCTACCTGTAGTCACTCTTATCACATGACAACTGGTGTCATGAGTGGTTGGATTGGAGACCACAGTACAAGGTTCTATTGGGAAGTTCCCAAACTGTTGTTGTTATAACTGCTTTGGTGAAAGAAGCTGAGAGGGGAGACCAAGGTCACACTTCCCCTTCTGCAAGCCTACTGCATCAGTCTGCTAAATGATACTACACTGTGAACATGCACTGTTATTACACGAGTGCTTTTTTGACTTAATGTTTTGTTTTGTCTGTGATGGATGGCAAAATCAAGCAATGTGTCTGCATCAAATTTTGCAATAAGTTCAGTAAATTTGCTACTGAAACCCTTGAAATGCTTAGTGAGGATTTTGGAGAACATTCTTTAAACTGGACATCGGTTTATGAATGGCATTCACGTTTCAAGGCTAGCTGAGTTTCAGCTGAAGATGACGAATATTCAGGGCAACCAAGCACCAGCAAAACAACAGAAAATGTTGAAAAAATTTGAGAACTCATCCATGAAGACTGTCACAGAACAATCGTGAGCTCACAGACACCATCTGGTTCAGTTATGAAGTTTGCCAGGAGATCTTAACAGAAAATTTGAACATGCTCCACCTTGCCATGAAGTGTGTTCCCTGACTCTTGACAAATGATCAAAAGCTGCAGCGTGTAAACATGTGTCTTGAGCTATGAGAGAAGGCTAATGAGGACCCAACTTTTACAGGTATCTCTAGGATCATAACAGGTGACAAAAGTTGGATTTACGGTTATGATCCAGAAACAAAGCAACAAGTGTCCAGTGGAAGAGCTCATAATCACAAGAGCAAAACAGTGCGGCAGGTGCGGAGTTCAACAAAGAGCATGTGTATTGTTTTTTTTTTTTTTTGGCCATGAAGGGGATTGTTCACCATGAATTTGTTAATCATAACACTACGGTCAACTCTGACTTTTGCCGTGATGTTTTGAGATGCTTGAGAGAAAATATGCGACAAGAAAGACCAGAACTTTGGCACCACAACAACTGGCTCCTTCATCACAACATGTCCCTGAAACCCACAGAGTTTGAGACTAACAACATGGTTACCGTTCCCCATATCCCCTACTCGCTGGACTTAGCCCCCTCTGATTTCACTTTGTTTCCCAAATTGAAAATGAAACGGAAGGGATAATGTTTTGAAACAGTGTCTGATATCCAAAGGGAGTCATAAATGGTACTTGAGTCCTTTAAGGAAAATTACTTCCATGGTGCTTTTGAAGTGTGGAAAATATGGTGGGAATGCTGTATATATTCTCAAGGGAATTACTTTTAAGGAGATGGCAGCCAAAATTGAGTAAGTTAAGCCAGCGTTTCCTTTTTGACCTAGTCTGGGAACTTTCCAATACACTTCGTATGTAATCATATCACCAAACTACAAAGATGGAACGAATATTGACACGCCTGCTGAACAGAATATATGCCATTCAAGGAAAGATGGATTCATACCAAGAAAGAATGGAAACCAAATTAGGGGCTGAAACAGAAACCATTCAAGAATTCAGTGAAAGCCTAGATGGGTTCTCTTGCCTCCCAGATCAATACCAGCCAAGAAAAGATGAAGGCCATGGTGGATGTCTGTCTAGAAAAGATGGAGGCAAATGTAGAGCAGCACCCCTAATGGTGCATCAGGATGTCTCTAAAGAAGAGGCCATGGTGGAGATGATCCAAGTTCTGAAGAACAGGCCTGGGGACCAGCATCTGGCCACAGGGCGCCACTGACAAACAAAGAAACAGACCCAGGGCATTGGCGGGTCGCGGCAGAAGCTGACCACTAGCCAAGGATAGCTGACCCGCTGTGCAATTTCTGCATTGCACAAGGGACACGATCATCAAGGAGCAGGCAAGGACAATGTTTTATGTGGAATTCCTAAAGGATGGATGCTCAAGAAGAGACATTGGTCGCAATGTAAACGCAACAGTGGCATAAGGGATCAGGGGTTTGGAACAGCAGCTATGTCTAGGAAGCAAGAAGGCATTCACAAGATCATCAGCAGACTTTCAGACTGGAGGTTGTGAAGCAAGTATTCGGGTTTTCCATTGGGTTACAGGAAGTAAGTGACTGGGCACTGTGAAGCAGTCGCCCCCCCCCCAAATGAAAGAAAGAATGTCAAAAGTGGAACCACAGATTGAGGTTAATGGTGGTACAGCTGGACTGGCTCACACTTTATTAGGGTACCACTCAGGATGAATGGCCTTAAGGAGGGAGCAGCAGTTGGCGAGTAATCACCGTGAGAAGTGACCTATGGGGATGGAAGGCAAGACTAATCACAGATGTCACAAGCACAGCCCTCAGAAAAGAAGAAATGGCGGTATTCCTCTAGGCTATTCAGGACAAATAACCTTAAGGAGTAAACGATGTGGCACATAGCCCCAATGCTAGATAATGATCTGTACGCATGCAACAGAGGAACATGTCATGTTGGTGATGATATCACATAACAATAGAAGAGGGGTTGCAAGTGGTGTTCTGTGTGGTCTGCTCCAAGGCTACATGACTGAACTGACCAAGTTCATTTCAGTTAATTTAGGGAGTACAGTGGAGGGAAGTGAGTTGGTGAGCAATCAGTTACAGCACTGCTGCAGTTCAGGAACCCAGAGTAATGGGATTGCCCGCTGTTGGAAGCCATTACCAATAGACAGCTAGTGGAGACTGTAACAGACTGAGAACACTAGCCTGTGTGCAATACTGATTTGTGAAGTGTAGTAACAAGTTGTATAAGTATGGAATAAATCCAGTTACCAATCCAGACCCCATCTACAGTCACTCTAACATGTGACAATATTATGTATGTTTAAATAAAATACATAAAATTTATGAGAGGTTGTAATTTTTAACTCCGGTTTCATTACCAGTTAATAAAAGAAACATGAACTGTGAAGCAGGGTGCAACTATGTCCCATCACTCTCAAGTTTGTGTTACTAACCTTGTCTCGAATGCTTTTCGTGCTCCAGGCATAAGGAATGAATAGTTGTTGTTCCTGCTAGGTGGGTATGGCCCAGAAGTTGATGATGCTGTTGTGCCATCAGCTGCTCTGTTCTTTGTCTCCAGTGACCAGTATCGTCTGCAATTACAGTCACATTCCTCTGTTATATAGTGTGATATAACGAACACTGACACAAATTTTTAGTTATTTTAGGGAAGATCTGGTAAGCCATGTTTCTTGGCACTGCTACTTTCATATTTTGTTCAGTGCATTAAAAAGGTGTTTTTGCTTGTGAATGGAGTCTGAATATGTTGAGTCTAAAATATAAATTAGAAAGGAGGAAGGAAGGCAAGAACCATCAGCAAACCCCACATTCCGCTGCACCACCGGACCTTGATAACCTTGTCTGAGGTTAATGGTAAGGATATGAGCAATTAAATTTATATTTATCTCAGAAATCTAGAAACATATAAGAGCAAATGAGTGACTCGCTTTGGTGATATGTTCCGCCAATATGCCAGTTGACTTTCAACAGACTACATGGCATTACATTGCAGAAGATAACATTCTCCATAACCACCACTGTTTGGACCTCAAATCCTACATACATTTAGAGCCTCATTCTCTATATTTCATGGTACTGTCGCTTCACCTCACAACCCCATCAGCTTCTAGGTTCTTTGTGAGCTTTCCAGCCCATGCAGATGGCCAAAGGCAACCAGGATCCTGCAGGACGTTTCTACAATTACTTTGCTTGTATAAGAGAGTTGTGGAGTTCTCAAGTGAACATTGATGCAGAATAATATGGTTATGAGTCCCCAAGAACCAAGAACCAAGAACCAAGAATGACTGTGTTGGCAAGAGCCAGCAGCAGTTTGCCTGAACCTGAACTAAGATGGCAGTTGAATCTTACTGTGATGTAGAAGTGGACATGTGTGACTGTACCAGAGAAACAGATGCGCTGTGAAATGCAAGTAGTGGATGCAATATGACATGATGGAGCAGTTGTTGACAAGATGAACTGATGTGAAGAGTATAAGTCGCTAATAGTAGTGAGACAATAACTGTTCCAAAACAAAATAAATATTATAACAGTTTAATGAATTCTTGTAAGGAAAATGTCCGCATCAATATTGAAGAATCAAAGGCCTTTAAGTGTTTCTACTACCACAAGTGGTTTATTTTCCCATCCATTATAACAACTAATGTATATTAATAGTAATGGAAACCAAAGAATTACAACTAGGCATTAAAAGTAGGCTTTTCAACTACTGGAAATGTATTTCGACTTTGTAAGAATGTTAGTAATTATGTAAAAGTTAAGTTGTCCCTGTGTGTAATTAAGCACATGGTATGGAGATCTATGGGAGGGTGAGGGTATAGCGTCACACATTCTTAACCCCAGAACTTGATGGAAGAGGTCAGCTTCATGCCCCAGCTCCTTTACCCACAAGGAGAGATTGCATTGTAGTGTTGTATGCATGCCACAGCTAGTCTAGAACAAGAAGCTGTGGGAATAGCTAATTCCATGCTTTCCACTGATACCACATGGACCACATAGAAAAGGATGTGTCCAACAATTCTTCTGTTGTTGCATGTATTCATTGCCACAGAAATGCGTTTACTGAGCCATTGCCTAGCAACGATAAGAGGGATACGCACAGAGAGCAAGGTAATTTCACAAGCCTACTTTCATTTCTCAAAAGTAGGAAATGTATGTTAAAAATGCCTGCTGGAAATTGAAACCTGGTCATTCAGCTGATAGCTTAGTCCCTTTATTGACAGCTATCATGACCCTGTTGAAACTAATTTGGCAGGGAATAAACATTCTTCTTAGCATCTTAAGGCCTATATAGAAATAATAAACCATCTCCTGTAAGCTGATCCTTAACAATGATAATTATTCTGTTGGATTTTATCAACTGTAATTTAACAGACAATTCGATACATTACATAATAAGTAGGTAAGTCAATAAGCAAGTTACAAATCGATATAGGACTTAAACAAATAAGAGTACTGATTTGAAAAATGCTTTTATTTCTCAACATAATCTCCCTGTACATTGAGGCACTTGTCCCATCTTTTCACAAGCCCCTGAAAACCAGCAGCATAAAATTATTTGGGCTGCTGTCGGAACCAGGCGGTGACTTCGCTTACTACAGCTTCATCATCGGGAAAGTGTTCAGCCGAAAGATGATGTTTAAGAGGGCCGAACAAATGGAAGTCACTTGGAGCAAGGTTGGGGCTATACAAAGGATGCTCAAAGACTTCCCACTTGAAATTTTGCAGCATCTCATTTGTCTTGTTGGCAGTATGGAGACGCACGTTGTCATGCAAGAAAATCACACCTAGTTCTGACAGCAGCCCAAATAATTTTATGCTGCTGGTTTTCAAGGGCTTGTGGAAAGATGGGACGAGTGCCTCAATGTACAGGGAGATTATGTTGAGAAATAAAAGCATTTTTCAAATCAGTACTCTTATTTGTTTAAGTTCTATATCCATTTGTAACTTACTTACTGACTTACTCTCATATATAAAGGTAATGTGTACATATACCTCTTTGTCATAGTTTCCAGAGCATGCAGATAAAATTGCACCGTGAGTACAGATTAATACACTATACTGCGTTCTTTGTCACAGGAAAGTTTCAGCAGATTCTATCCTGTTTGTTCACAGTAATCTTTTTTAGTAAGCCATATTTCATGTAGAAATTCCTCATTAGACATTCATAGAGTCCTTATGAATTTGCGTCTTATTTATTTTCCACCATCAGAGTTCCTGGTCTTGTTTTTGTCTTCAGGCAATTTCTGCATTTTCTTTTGCTGATCTATGCATATTTATATGCTATTGCCCCATCACACTTTCTGGTCTTGTTCTTGTCTTCAGGAAATTTCTGCATTTTCTTTTGCTGATCTATGCATATTTATATGCTATTGCCCCATCACACTTTCTGGTCTTGTTCTTGTCTTCAGGAAATTTCTGCATTTTCTTTTGCTGATCTATGCATATTTATATGCTATTGCAACACATACTGCGCAAGCATTTCCAAGTGTGGGAACCCCACACTAAACCAATCGCTGTAACAACAATGCACTTATTATGCAACTAGCTGTGCCTGGCGACGCCTTGCTGTGGCTCAGTCTGCCCATTCTTCCCCAGTTTGATTTGAAATTACTCGACACATTGCTTCTGCTCCGCGAGTACAACGACCTAAGCTTGTTCTTAGAAAACGAAAAGAAAAACAACGAAAAATAAACTACACTTATGAAATAACTTCCTCACACGTCTCGGATTCAGCGAATAAGTTATTGAACGCTCACTTTTACATCAGCGAACACAATTATTATCACGTCCAGTATCACCGAAAATTTCTTCGGAGCTGGACTATTATAACCCGGTTTCGGACACAATAGAGGACACTTTCGCCCAGGGTTCCATTTCACGTGTTCTGTGCTCGTTGCCGCAGAAATGCATTATTTCCGCTGTTTCAACAGTTCGTTGCCATGGTTATCCCAAGGCAATGACCCGCTGTTTCAACAGTTTGTTGCGACGGTTATTCCAAGGCAAGGACCCGCTGTTTCAACAGTTCATTGCCACGGTTATTCCTAGGCAACGACCCGCTGCTTCAGCAGTTCATTGCCATGGTTATTTCTAGGCAACGATCTGTTGCTATTCGATGGACGACGTATAACACGTTACAGTATATTAATATTGAATACAATTAATACTTTTACCTGCTTTTACCTGTCACAGGTGTGACATCTACATAATAGGCATATAAAAACACGCGCGTGTTCGAATGCAACATTGTGTCAAAATTTTGAAGCAATCGCTGAAGAACTTTCAAAGATCTTCGAGGAGAGCCAAACCAACAGTTGCGTTTTTATTTATATAGATTATCCCTAGGAATTATTTACTGGTAAGCAATGACTCAATAATGAAGGGATCAATGGAAACAAATCAAGACAATGCAGTAACAGAACAGTACCCCAGAGGTGCACTACACAGTTGGAGTGAACCATTAAAGAAGGAACCTATCTAGAGAGAGAAAAAAAGTATCCCGTGTGGTGGCGGGATCAAATACCTCCACCATAACCCTGTGAATTGTAGGAGGTGATGAAAAGGAAAGTCTCAAATCTGAGACAGTAAGATATGGTCATGAGTACCATGGGACTCGGACCCAAAAATGTCTGCACTGGCAAGGAGGGCCAGCAGTAACTGTAAATGACAGTCCCGTTCTCTCATCGGAGAAAGCGCCCCACATCAACCAACCTGCAACTGTCTGACAATAATAAAAATCTGGTTGTAAGCCCCAGATGGGTGCTTTATTCCAAGATAGACTGGCTTACTGACCATTGGTCGTAATATAAGACTCATACTCAGGAGAGAAAAGTCTTCTCCAACCAGTCTACCTGCAATCTGCAGCCTGCACCCTACAACCTGCAATTCTTCAACTGAAGTTCATCTGTATATTCTCGATAATGACAGTGAATAACTGTACAGAACTTTAATAAGTGGTTGTCTCTTCAAGCAATAACAGTCCGACAGAAGTTATGTTAATTTGCCACACAATACACAATAATATGTAAACAGCTTTTGCTGCATGCCTCATGTTTATAAGTAAAACACAAAAGCAAAATTTCATAGAAACAGTAAGAAGAAACACTATACCGACTTCGCTGCAATAAAATTATTTGCAAACTGAAACAAAAACACAATTTAAATATTCAAAATTTGTGAGGCTGAAGTTCTGTAAACACTCAACAAATGTTTTTGTTATCATAACACTGACAGAAGAAAATTTCTGCTCTTCAGAGTAAAGAAATGAAATGAAAGATAATGCTATATAGAGAATAACCTTCTGTGATAGGCTTAACAGTTGATGGACAGGCATCAGTAATTATAACAAACTTTACATCATATACCAGTTTCTTTGATGCACAAATTCATACTCTTGGTGTATGTTTTGGATCTTCATAATTCTTTTCAGTGATGGACCATTTAAGACACGCAGAGTCAGATGGATAGACAGACATTCAACTGGAAACTAAGACAATGATAAGGTAATATGTTGCAGTACATTCATGCATTGAAATATAATGGTGGTTCTAAAGATAATTGCTTAGTTAAAATGTAGCAGAGATTTGGTTTGCTGCACACAGTTCACACTCATTAATACTGGAAAGCCTACAATAGAAGATGGCTCGTTTACGTGTTTATTCTCAGGGTGCTCCTCAGTCAATTTAGAAAGGTACTGTTTTATGTACACTGAACAATATTTCAAGGTTAATCTATGAAGTTCATAGTTATAAAATGTTTTATTAGATACATGAATTAATGCAATATATTTCTGCTTGCTATAAAATAAACTGTATCTGTATGTTAACTTTACCGGTAGCATATTCCAGCAAATGCAGTGATTATAATCAGCACAATCAGTATAATGATGACTGCAGATACTAGACCATAATATTCTCCATGTGTGAGGCACACGGTCTCTGCAGTAGGCTCCACGTTCTCTTCCTGTAGCAACTCATGTCGAGATTCAAACACCTGAAATATCAGCAATTTTTTGTTATCTATGTGAAGTGCAAAATGCAAATATACGAGGTTTGACAATAAAGTTCGTGAACTTACCACTGTGTGCTTGTCATGGCAGCAGTGGACAGAAACCTTAGTATGGTTTGATTATGTTAGCATATCAGTGTTTCATACCTATGTTGTTGTCGATCTATGGCAGTCTCTTTCTGAGTGGCATCTATTATTGTTTGAGTGTGTTTTGGTGTGCCATCACGAGAATATCAGAGTTTGAATTAGAGCAACGAACGAACATTAAATTTCTTGTTAAACTTGGCAAGAGTGGAAACAAAATCAGACAGATGTTAAGGCAAGTTTCCCAGGATAATGCCATGAAGAAAACAGCAGTTTACAAGCGGGTGACACGTTTTGCTGAGGGAAGAGAAAGTGTCACTGATGAGAGACCAGGCCAGGCAGCAACAAGGAGAACTGAAGAAAACATTGCAAAAGATCAGCATTAAGCAGAACTGATGAAAATATTGCAAAAGATCATAAACTTTTGCATGAAAATCATCGGCTGACTGTCAGGAGCACAGCACAGCACGTGAACATCGATAGAGACACAGGAAAAGCTTAACTGGAGATCCTGACATGAGGAAGCTGTGTGTGCAAAAATGGTCCCAAAGGAGCTCACATGGCACTGTCTGTGAGGCAGTTTTTAGCTAGTAAACATATAACTGTGCTGGAACACCCTCCCTATTCACTGGATCTAGCCCTCAATGATTTTTTCTGTTCCTAAAGATAAAGGAAATACTGAAAGGAAGGCATTTTCATGACACTGATGACATCAGGAGTGGAGTAATACAACAGGTCTGAAGGCTGTTCCACAAAGCCCGTTTCAAAATTGTTTTGAAGAGTGGACCAGACGCTGGCAACAGTGCTTAGCTTCCCAAGGGGAGTACTTTGAAGGCGACCACAGTGATATCCACCTTTGAGCTATGTAGCACTTTTACTGCAATGAGTTTGTGAACTTTACTGTTAGACAATGTATGCCATTGGCCAGAATATTATTTATAAGAACAAAGAATTCATCCATCAGTACAGAAAAAGCAGGAATGTGGAATGATAAATATGAGCAAGGTTTTATACTATAATTCAAGTTGTTAAATAACAGGAACATGTACCCTCCACTTACATGATTTTGAATTTTACATTAAAATGCATTTCTTTCTTAACGTTTACAGTTTTGGTGATGACTAGGATATTTTCACATGACCTGAGCTTGGGGAGGAAGTACGAGTACATGTGCACACTTCTTTTTCAGGACACTTTTTGTCTTCACAGTCTCCCATCAGTTTCTACATTCTTTGCTAATTGTCCAGATTCCACTGCCAGCCTGAGATAACTGGGAACCCATGAAATGTTTCCAGAATTACTTTGCTTCTATAAAGTGTTGCAGAATTTTCCAGAGACCATTCAAGTCTGATTGTGATTTCAGAAGCAGCTAACCGTGGTTGAGGGTAGAGAAACAGATGTGAAACAGCACATATGGTGAGACATAAAGTTATGTCAGCACTGGGAGTAAAAGACTCAGAGAGACGATGGTGTTGTGGTATAGAATTAAGTAGTAGACAACAAGAACAAGCTGACATCAAGACATTATGTATGTATGTACGAGGGTAATTCCAAAAGTAAGGTCTCCTATGTTTGAAAATATAAAATAAACATTTATTTTCAATCTTGGATACATCAGTTGAATCTTGAACATGTACTCATTTCTCTACATAATTGCCATTTCGGTTGATGCATTTTTGTAGGCGCAGTGGCAGTTTTTGTATGCCCATGTCATACCAGTTCACCTCCATGCTGTTCAGGAAACTTCGAACCTCAGCTTTCACCTCATCGTCGTTGTTGAAGTGCTTTCCAGACAAATGTTCTTTCAACTTTGGAAAGAGATGGTAGTCACTGGGCGCCAAGTCCGGACTATAGGGTGGATGGGTGATGATGTTCCATCCAAACTGTTGCAGTTGAGCGACGGTTTGTCGGGCAGCATGGTGGTAAGCGTTATAGTGGAGAATGCTTACGCCCTTCCTCAACATCCCTCTTCTCCGGTTCTGAATCGCCTGCCTGAGTTTTCTCAGTGTCTCACAATATCTCTCAGCGTTTATTGTGGTCCCAGTTTCCATAAAGTCAACCAACAATACCCCGTTTCGATCCCAAAACACAGTTGCCATGACTTTACTGGCAGACTGTGTTTGCTTGAATTTTCGAGGCTTAGGCGAAGAGGAATGCCGCCACTGACGTGATTGTTGTTTTGTCTCAGGTGTGAAGTGGTACGCCCAGGTTTCGTCGCCTGTGACAATTGAATTCAAGAAGTTGTCCTTTTCGTCAGCATAGCGGCGAAGAAATTCACGGGAAGAGTCAACTCTCTGCCGTTTGTGGTCTTCCGTGAGCATTCGCGGGACCCATCTTGCGCACACCTTCCGATAATTCAACTTCTCTGTCAAAACCCGATAAATGGTGGTTCGGGAAACCTCGGGAACCGAAATGCAGAGATCATCGAGTGTGATGCGCCTATCCTGACGCATGACTCACTCAATCTTCGGGACTGTCTCGTCAGAAATTGACGGTCTCCCAGTTCTTTTTTGTCGTGTATTGCAGTACGACCAGATTCAAACTCCCTACACCACTTGCGGACGTTCTTTATGTCCATGCACGACTCACCATACACTTCCACCAATTGACGACGAATTTCAATTGGTTTAGTCCCTTTTGCATTCAAAAAACGAATAACTGCGCGAATCTCACACTTCGCGGTTTTAGTAATAGGGAGCTCCATTTCTAACGGCAACCGTGCCAAGACTGAGCGTCCTAGCTACGTGCGCGCATGCTTGGTGGTATTGGGGGGAGTGGGGGAAGCAACGAATGCAACAGGGTTGCCAACAGCCACACGAAAAATTACCCAGCGCTTTGGAGACCTTACTTTTGGAATCAGGTACGTATGTATGTATGTAATGGGTGGGCCATAAAAAACTGGCCCCCACACTGCGACCTTCAATGATCTATTGTGCTTCCCCTTGTATTAGCCCTTTATTAAGACTACACTTTTAATAAAGTGTAGGACCCTGCTTATGGGGCTGTCATAAGAGTCATTTGGTTCCATAAAAAACTGACCCAAGTGATGAAATCTGAAATAAGCTATGGCCTCACAGTCACACAGGATGTGTGTGGCTGTTTCGTTTTCTTGTAGGCACCTTTAACAAGTTGGGTTATCTGTCAGTCCCAACTTGAAAAGGTGTCCTTTTAGGTGGCAGTGTCTGGTAGGTAATCCTACCACCCATCTTAGTTGATCACTTTTTAATCTCAACAGATCATTTGTTCTTCTGGCAGAGGGTCCTGCTATTAACCCTTTGCCTGTTTGAGTCAAATTATGGATTCCCAGTATTTTTTATGGTTTCTATCAGTCAAGTCCCTGATCACTTTTTTGGCAACTCCAATTGAGTTTCCGCAAGCTGGTTGAGGTCCTATGAACCATCGTTCAGATCCTGTTCTCGCCAGTTGAGCTGCAGTTTCATTCCCTGCAATACTCTCCTACTGAGATGCCGCAAGCTGGTTCAGATGTTCAGGTCCTGTTCTTGCCAGCTGATCTGCAGTTTCATTCCCTGCAATACTCTCCTCCTGAGATGCCGCAAGCTGGTTCAGATGTTCAGATCCTGTTCTTGCCAGCTGATCTGTGGTTTCATTCCCAGCAATACTCTCCTGCTGAGATGCCACAAGCTGATTCAGGTCCTATGAATGGCTGTTCAGATCCTGACCTTGCCAGCTGAACTACAGTTTCAATCCCAGCAGTACTCTCCTACTGAGATGCCGCAAGCTGGTTCACATCCTGTTCTTGCCAGCTGAACTATGGTTTCATTCCCTGCAGTACTCTTCTACTGAGATGCTGCAAGCTTGTTCAGATCCTGTTCTTGCCAGCTGAACTACAGTTTCATTCCCAGCAATACTCTCCTACTGAGATGCCGCAAGCTGGTTCACATCCTGTTCTTGCCAGCTGAACTATGGTTTCATTCCCTGCAGTACTCTTCTACTGAGATGCTGCAAGCTTGTTCAGATCCTGTTCTTGCCAGCTGAACTACGGTTTCATTCCCAGCAATACTCTCCTGCTGAGGTGCCGCAAGCTGCTTCAGGTCCTATGAATGGCTGTTCAGATCCTGTTCTTGCCAGCTGAACTACAGTTTCATTCCCAGCAATACTCTCCTACTGAGATGCCGCAAGCTGGTTCAGATTCTGTTCTTGCCAGCTGATCTGTGGTCTCATTAGCAGCAATACTCTCTTGCTGAGATGCCGCAAGCTGGTTCAGGTCCTATGAATGGCTGTTCAGATCCTGTTCTTGCCAGCTGAACTACGGTTTCATTCCCTGCAATACTCTCCTCCTGAGATGCCGCAAGCTGGTTCAGATCCTGTTCTTGCCAGCTGAACTACGGTTTCATTCCCTGCAATACTCTCCTCCTGAGATGCCGCAAGCTGGTTCAGATCCTGTTCTTGCCAGCTGAACTACGGTTTCATTCCCTGCAATACTCTCCTCCTGAGATGCCGCAAGCTGGTTCAGGTCCTATGAATGGCTGTTCAGATCCTGTTCTTGCCAACTGAACTACAGTTTCATTCCCAACAATACTCTCTACTGAGATGCCAAAAGCTGGTTCAGGTCCTGTTCTTGCCAGCTGAACTACGGTTTCATTCCCTGCAATACTCTCCTCCTGAGATGCCGCAAGCTGGTTCGGGTCCTGTTCTTGCCAACTGAACTACAGTTTCATTCCCAGCAATACTCTCCTGCTGAGATGTCACAAGCTGGTTCAGATCCTGTTCTTGCCAGCTGAACTACGGTTTCATTCCCAGCAATACTCTCCTGCTGAGATGTCACAAGCTGGTTCAGATCCTGTTATTGCCAGCTGAACTACAGTTTCATTTCCAGCAATACTCTCCTAATGAGATGCTGCAAGCTGGTTCAGGTCCTGTTCTTGCCAACTGAACTACAGTTTCATTCCCAGCAATACTCTCCTGCTGAGATGCCGCAAGCTGATTCAGGTCCTGTTCCTGCCAGCTGATCTGCAGTTTCATTCCTAGCAATACTCTCCTACTGAGATGCCACAAGCTGGTTCAGGTCCTGTTCTTGCCAACTGAACTACAGTTTCATTCCCAGCAATCCTCTCCTACTGAGATGCTGCAAGCTGATTCAGATCCTGTTCTTGCCAGCTGATCTGCAGTTTCATTCCCAGCAATACTCTCCTACTGAGATGCTGCAAACTGGTTCAGGTCCTGTTCTTTCCAGCTGAAGTACGGTTTGATTCCCTGCAATACTCTCCTACTGAGATGCTGCAAACTGGTTCAGATCCTGTTCTTGCCAGCTGAACTACGGTTTCATTCCCTGCAATACTCTTCTACTGAGATGCTGCAAGCTGATTCAGATCCTGTTCTTGCCAGCTGATTTGCGGTCTCATTCCCAGCAATACTCTTCTGCTGAGATGCCGCAAGCTGGTTCAGGTCCTATGAATGGCTGTTCAGATCCTGTTCGTTCCAGCTGAACTGCGGTTTCATTCCCAGCAGTACTCTCCTACTGAGATGCCTGAAGCTGGTTCAGGTTCTGTGAATGGCTGTTCAGATCCTGTTCTTGCCAGCTGATCTTTGGTTTCATTCCCAGCAATACCCTCATGACCTGGCACCCATACCAGTTGAAGTTTTTTATGTCTGGCCAGTTGTGTGAGGGATTGGTGGCAGTCCCAAACCAATGTTGAAGTGATTTTGTGTGTGTCTCATGGGATATATGTAGATGTTCCTATTTCTATAGTTCCTATCTGATATGAAGACATTAAATAGTTACTAACACTGAGATATCGACTATTTTGAAGCACGATGAGCATAACAACTGGTGTAGTTGGATCAAAAGTGATCCAGCATTAGTGGCTATTTTGGAATAGTTAACTAACATAAGTGCCACCCAGGAAGAATTTGAAAGGACATAGTCATCAGCTGGGAGGAACTCAAAAAGACTTCTGATCCATCACAAAGAACTAAAAATGGTACTACTAAGTGAAATAAGTGACACACTCACAGCACCACGACATGTGATGATCATGCACACTTTATGGGTTTTCTGTAGAGCCAGTGATGTGCAGAAAACATAATTTTACAGAAAGATTGTTAAAATAAAAGCTTAAGAATGAATTCTGCAGTTTGTACTGGCCATGCACAAGACATTCTATCACAAAACAGTGCAGTGAACTTTCTGGAATATCAAAGCACTCATGATTCAAGTTTGTAGTTCTCTTCACTTCTAGTCATACCTCTATCATTTCTCGAACTTGTTCCTCTTCCTCTGTGCTGTTTGTTGCATCCTTTTGTTGCTCCATCTGTTCTGTTTCATTCAGCTCTCTCTTCTTTCTGCCAAATGAGGGCTCATTGCGTCCTGCATGTCCTGTGCAGTACGCCTGTAAATAAATACATGGTCCATCATATTTGCTCCCCTTGTCAGTATCACAATATACATTACACTAGATAAAACCTTAGAAAGGAATAACACTCAAATAAAAAGCTTGAAGTGTATTTATATAATTAGGAGAAAAAATATTTGGAATGAAAATGTGAATCATACCCAGAAATTCCAGCATAATACTTGCATGTTGCTTTGATTGGTGTGGCCACTATTGGTATTGGCAAGAGCAAGAGTAAATTTCATAATATATTAGGCTGTTCTCTATTAGGTGTGTGGAAGGAAATGGGAAACTCACAGAAAAGTTATATTTTTGATGGACAAACATAATTTCATTTAGAAAATGGTATGAATAATTAAGAACTCTCATCACTAGGCAGCAAGGCAGAACTCACTGGCTGACATCCCTCTCTGCATGTTCGTACTGTTGCTTCAAACACCAGAAAGTTTGATTCAGGTATTTTGAAGGCATTGAATCTAGCCTCCAGACCGTCACCAGCTCTTGAGCGATCAAGTCCTGGGAACACATAGTTGTCTACCGGACATCTGAAACCATTAAGAAATAATGTGTAAAGGATTGACATCTGTGACACTCCTTGACTGCCAGTCACAACAGCACGAACATTGTGATCGTGGGTAATCCCACTCAGGCCGTGGATGCACGTCCTGTGACAACTTGGGATGGGCTGATCGCCTACTGAAGGCTCCAATCGTCTATAAGCCAGTTCTAAATTGAAACTGGTCAGAGCAACCAATTTGTTAAGGGCAAAGAACACAAACTCCTCATTTACAATTAAAAACCTTTTTAGGTAAGGTAAAAGCTTTCCCTGTGCTTTTGACAGTTACAAAATAATCTTTCATGAAAGGTACATCAATAAGAGGATTCTTATTACATAAAAGTAACAAAGCATATTGTCACTGAAAAACAATGCTTCAATACAACTTATTGCAGCAACAGGCTTCTCTTGACACTGAATGCTCCAGTAATAAATATTCTGTTGCATGACTATGCTGTCAGAGCTACAACCTGTGTCAGTATTCTCTTTAACTATTTCCCAATAGTTGTGATTAAAGTTTCCAACTTGAAGGTCCTTTAAGTAGTGAGATTCTTCTATTGAGGCTTCATGTTGTTAAGAAATCTTATGCATACACAAGTATGAAAGAAAAAAGATTAGATTTAGTTTATTGTGTCCTTAAATTCAAGTGTAAAATAAAATAAGAACATAAACAAGGATTTTTTTGTGTAATTATCTGAGTTACTTAATCTTCTTGTCATGATGAACACACAAACTTCATGATTACTTATTTACTCATGGAGCTGAGCCCTTCTTGAGGAGCTGCCAATTCTGCAGCTACTCAAAAATTTCCCAGAATTTTATGGAACCTGAAGGTTCATTACCATGTTCACAAGAGCCCTCCACTGTTCCCTATCCTGAGTCAGATCATGATTACAGTACATATTTTTAAATTCCATCACAACTATCACTGCTATACTTAAACACAACCACTCATAACCATGTTGCTCTACAAGAAATTTTCAAAACTATGTGTCATAATGTAGAGTTGTGATGTGGCAGCCCCTTCATACTGAGGAATATGTATATAGTACCTGCCAAAGTCAAAATAATTTTGAATATGTAAGAATTTCACTGAAACACAATTATATAGAATCTGAAATAATTAAATTATATGTTCAGCCAACTAAACCCAAGATACATTACACTTCAGAATTTTGCCAAATCTAACAAGAGACAAATGCAAGTGTCCAGAGACTGGTCCAAACCCCTAATTATGACATATGCATGTTATGAAGAAGCCTTCAAACTGCCAGAACTTACTGCATTATTATTGTGCCTTTAAATTATATAATCTTCATAAAAAACAGCACAGTTACTGCATATAATTTTAAAATGTAGTGGGGATGTACTGAAGGTAACTTCATTACCAGTACAGTGCTAATCTTGTGCGAGGAAACTGCATAATACTGCACCTCTTGTCACCTAGTCCCTCAGAGTGTATTCCCTTCGCAGGGAATAGGCGCTAATCGGTTAGTCAAATTCCATGGTGAAATGGAACCCAAAGGCTTCATCCAATCCACCACATTCCAGATATTTAGGTAAGATACAACACACAGTACCTTCTGTCTGCAACTGAACTCTAATTCTGTTGGTTTTGTCATTTTACCCTTTCACCTGCACATGTTTAAAGCTTGGATACGTCCTTTAGATCTGACCCTTTTTCTCTTTATTACATTTGGGTTTACATGTACACGTATGTCACAATTTTTCTTGTCACTTTACTGATTCACATTCTTCAAACAGGAGTAAAAATATGAATGTTCAAGGAACATGAAACACAACAAAAAGTGCGGTTATCAGAATTAGAAAATCAACTAGGATCAAACAAGCAATAGACATGAGTATATTCAGGGTTGGTCCTGAAGGGTTGTAAGATGATAAATGTGGCAGAATACAGTATTTCCTTGCCTAAAATTACTGCCAGTAGTTTTTCAGACTCTAGGATGAACAGGGACTAAAACAGAGGGAACTGAACCATGTGGGTGCACTAAACATGAAGAGAATGATGTCACAAGCACAGTTTTCATGAAGGAATATTGTACAGAGAGACTGGCAAGATAAATTATAAAATGAAAATATTAAAATTAAATTGCACACGAAGCTGAAAGTCCAAATTAAGTCTCATCAAGTTATGAATTCTCACTTTTAGTTATGCTTCTATAACCTTAATTCATTTTTACAAACTTCGGAGTTCTCAGGTAAGGTTTTCCTTGATTCTATTAATTTCTCTACACATGGAATATTTTTAAGATTCATTTGCTAATATTGTGTAAGACGTACCCATATCTATCTATGAGTTGCACTGATCGCCCAGAATAAGGATCTCTTGCAATGACATTTGTTGCAAAGATATCTGATACATAATTATAACCATCTTGGGCCTCAAGCCGGAAGGTCAGAGGGTCACCAACAGCTATGGTTGTAGTTGGACGCCCCTGGTACAAGATCAACAGACGCACTCTGGAGCTCAATGAATTTTCAGCTGGGAGGTACTCAATTGGAATGGGACTGCCAGCTCTAAAAACAAACAGATTATTGCTATAAATACTGTCATTTGTAAAATTAGATTCACACAAGGTTAAATTTGTTTAAAACAGTGGTCTTCAGCCTGTGGTGCATGAGCCACTGAAGGTAACCTATAGACCCTTGATTTGTGAGCTTCCAAATTGGACATTTTTGCATTTGTATACCAATTTAAACACCGTGTATAAAAACCAGGTGTTAACTCCATACTTATCTATATGGAAATATTATTTATTGAAAAGTATTCTGTAAATAGAAAGCTATGTCTAAACTTAAATGGTTTCAGGGCTGCAAACTGTAACTATTAGAAAAATATATCGTCAGTTTATTGCTTCCCTTTATTGGTACCTGACCTGACATATTTTGATTTCATAAAGATTCATCCTCAGTTTATAATTTTCATTTCATGCATCCTGTTGTGTTATAATATACAGCTTCTTTATTAAAGACTGACGACTGACTCAATGACATAAAGCATCAATTGAAGAATTTCATTCTTGTTTTATACTATAACTTTTGTTTTTTTATATATCTAATTTATTGTATTTTTACATCAAGTATGTTAATATATTAATATTATTGTATCCAATTTTATTAATACTGCAGTTCAGTGGTGCATATATGTTAGCCATGTATTTGCCTGATGACGGCTATTAATAACCAAACTAGGCACTGACATTGATATAGTTGTGTTGTGAAGGTTTTAATAAAGAAGTTGTGTTCATCCTCAGGATAATCATTTCTAGTAGAGCACAGAAAATAATTTATTACAATATTATTCAATATTAAAAGTATTTAAAACTTGTTTGTTAAGAGTTTTATTGGCTCATAAATGCATAAGTCTGTCCTAGTTAATATTTAGGTTCACATGTCCACTTTACTTCCTAGTCTCATATGCATGTACATGTATATCAGTTAGCTGCCAAATCAGCATTCATGTCGCAGTTAAATTTTCATTAAATATTGTCATGTGTTAAGTGATGAGGCACAGGGCTTGGATTCATAATTGGATTTACTGCAAACTTACAACTCGTAATTACAAGTAATTGTAATGCTACACAAATCTCTATAATTCACACTAGTTGTTGCCTTGTCACAGTCTTCTAACAATGGTTATACCTCATGCTCTTATGGCAATCTCTAACCACTGACTCAAGACTGTACTGCTCTGCCGCTGGCCTCCCTCCTCAGACTGGGACTGTCTAGACTGCCTGCCTCTTAACTTGACTCAACTGCTAACCATGAGCTTAGGTTCTCCAGATATAGCCTCAGGGAGGACCCCACAGAAAACACTGCTTCCAACATTTCTTCTATTATTGGGTGACGTAGTTGTTGTGGCAGACCACACAGAAAATACCATTTCCAGTGGTACTTCCATTGTTACACCAGTGTTTATTGTGCCATTGCCTAGCAATAGCTGCCTCTTCCATTCTCTGTGTCACAATATTAAAGCATTTTATAACATTACAAATTGTGGGATTTTATTCTCTTTACTTAATATAATTTTTTGATTGATGTTTTGTTGATATTTACTACAGTTTAAAGTGTCCCACAACCTCTCCATTGCGATGTCAGCTGGAAATCTGCTCTTGCTTTGCATGTTATTTGTCAGAATCTCTTGAGTCTGAAGTACGTTACATCTTCATATTGCGACAAGACTACTTAAACGTTGTCCATTGCATGGGAATGGCTCAATAAGGAACTGGTGAGAACAGAGTTTTCTGTGTGGTTTGTGCTGAGGATATATAAGCAGAGCTGTTGAGGCAACTCAGCCAGTTGCCATCAGTAGCAGTGGACAGGTAGTTGATAGCCAGTGATAGCCAATCATGGCTACAAGCTGCCATCAGTAGCAGTGGACAGGTAGTGGACAGCCAGTGAAAGTCAGCCAGCCAGCTAGCAAGTAGATAGTGATGGTTAGTGATGCCATGAGTTGGAGTTGAGAGCATATTACAAGCCAGCCATCATCCAGTGAGGAGGACGTGAGCACCAAAACGAGAGAACCTGCACTGATGGAAACCGTTAACTAACAATGCCTATTGAAGACATGGAAGCTGTCCTGTTTGCAGTAGTGATTTGTAGAGTGTATAGATCTGTGGAACTGTTACAGTTCTCTGTAGTTATCAGCTATAAGTGTTCAAAAAATCCAATTATTGATCCAAACCCGATGTCTGGTAACTAACATGTAATCATATTATATCCTAATGGACACTTCATGGAACACAATACAGTTAATATTAAAAAAATCAAGAGAAAGAGGACATTATAGAAAATTTTTGTAAAGTTTAATCTTATAAAATACTTTAATTTTTAATAAAATAATTAAATACAAAATGAATGCTGATTTAAATGACAGCTAATTGATATTTATTAATATGGGAGTTAAGTGGACATGTGAATCTAAATGCGACAAAGAGCATGATTATGTGTTAATCAAAGACTACAACTTTCAATGAATATATTATAAATAGTTATAATAGCAAATAATATTCTACTAAATTGTTTTTATACTATTCTAGAAATTATGGTCCTGAAGATGATTCCATAACAGGTAAGAACATGTAGGATGGAATAAGAGCAAAGCAAAACAATCCGACAGTTCACCTGTTCAGTGGTGGCTTTTAAACTGATCTGCTGTATATTCAGTTCATCTGCATTATTACGTTTTCAACTTTTAAAAAATAAATTACCTTTTTTTTCATGTGAATCTCTTTAAAGGTGTGAATTTGTTTTAAGGATTCTTCTTCTGTACATACACCACTTCCTATAGCAAATTAATGTAAATTCGCATTTTTGGAACCTTCTGAACCCAGGTCTGTGATGTTGCCTCTGGCAGGACAGTACACATTTAATTGGATTTGCAATAAAAGATGCACAATTATAAGCAACTGAAATAGCATATGGTTAGGAGTAATTAATTTCACAGTGTCAGTTCAAAATCTACTAGCACCTACAGACTTAGCTGGGAAACTCAGTTATAGAAAATTCCAACAGAATGATCTGAACTGTTTCAGTTAACTGAAACCATGCTATGTGAATGCACCGATTTTTCTGGTATTTTGTGAGTAGGAAGCTGAAGGGGTGGCACAACTGATTCAAATCCTGGTGGTAGTACGTGGGATTTTTTCCCTCCTTTGGGGCTGTCTTCAATTTTCCCAGCATCAGTGGGAACCTAAGGGATTTGAAGGAGGAGCCCCCTTACATACTGCTTCAATGTTTGAGTAAAATGTTCCACTATTAGACTCTCAGAGATGGTGATTACAGGCAATATAAAGCTCATCACTCAAAAGTGGTGACTCACCCTGCACCAATATATCCTGACGTAACTACAGCTTCCCCTGGTCCTCGGAACAAGCATGTCAAATTGTATCGCTTGTCCCTTCCAGTCTGCACATAATCACTAAACTGCACCACTACAATGTTGGTCATGGTATCGCCATACTGCATGAACAGAAAAAGCACATCACATTAATACTTATGCAGCTTGAATGCAGTGTATAAATTTAACACTTTGCGGACCGGCAATTTAAATATTTAAATCACCCTGCGGACTGACATTTCTATACCTACTACCCTAACTTGTGCACTGTTCACTTTAAAAATTAATATAAAATCTCCTAATTAATTTTATGAACTAAAATTTTTTGAGAACACTTACCAATGCTTCTAGAAGTGCTTGAGGGTGTGATATTTCTCGAAACATTCCCCTCTGTGAAGTGGCATTACACAAAACTTGCAAATGTAGGCAGTCCTACTCCCTTTCTTGTGAATTGCGCAAACACAGCTTTGCCTAGAAGCCTGCTTCCCCTTGAAATGTTCACTCTTCACAATTTTCGCGAGGGTATGTTTCCACATATCACCCGAGAGTCACCCAGGGGGGTCAAAATGAGGCCTGCGTGGGATGGGAGTAGATGGCCCCGGTCATACTAAGACTGTGTCTGCCGCCAGTTGTTCCGCCACCATATGGTCTGTAGGCCAGGCTTTTGCCACATTCAACAGAAATGCCTTGTATTTCAATTTTGAATGAGGGTTTAGATTTTTGAAAACCAAAAATGAATTGAAAATGGCACAATTTTAAAGCCACAAGGCAACTTTCTTTGTCCACTTTACTGTTTTCTGTGGAAGAGAATAATAGGCCAAGTACTGATCGGCTCTATCAACCCCCTTCATGAACATATTATACTCAGAAACACAAGTAGGCTTCTTTACTTGTCCATGTCTCCTTTGAACATCAACCATGCTCGAATTGTGAATTGTGGAAATCATATTCACAACAAGAGTATCCCTCCAGGACTGAAGAAGAACATCCCCCTTCCTCCTAAATGTGGTTTCACTACATTTCAGGGATTTACATTCCTCTTTCAGATCTGGAGGAAGGCCTCTGTTCACCCTAATTCTTCCACAAACACGTACTTTTCTCGAAAATAGGTGTTCTGCAGTTGCCACACTGTTATAATAATTGTCTTGCTAGACACGATAATTTTGATCAAGATAGGGTTCCAAAACGGAAAGAATAGTTTCTTGTAATTTCTTTCCTTCACCAGAATAAATTTCTAAATTTCCAATATAGCCTGAAGTGCTTTCAGTAACTACACGAACAAGTAGGCCATACTTTGTAAGTTTCCCAGGATTATATGTTCGCATACGAAGCCTTCCCCTCCAAGGAATCACAGATTCGTCCAAAGACAGTTGTTTGTTTGGATTATAAACTGTCTGAAATTTCTGAACGAAAAAGTTCAATAAGGGCTGAATTTTGAAAAGGCAGCTTGTTGATTGTGGTTGCAGTTCATTATCATTGAAATGCAAACACCACCAAATTTGCTCAAATTTCTTACAGCTCATTAGTTTGCCGAAAATTGGAATTTCTAAAAATGGATCTGTTGACCAATACTCTTTCAGATTATCCCTCCTTGTATGGCCCATTAGAAAGATAATTGCGAAAACTTTTCTCATTTCTGCTGAAGTGACATCCACCCACTTCAACGCCTTATAACTTCTGTCATAATGTTCACGGTGTTGGAGATAGTATCTGTTAGTTTCCTGACATAGCATGTCAAAGAAACTATCTCCAAAAAACAGTTCCGCTACTTCAGACACTTGCGTTGGGTCCGATGGAATTTGCTTCACCCCTGGATTTCCAGTAAACTGTCCCAAAGCAGGCGTTTTGTCTACTTTTCCCCATGTGGCTGTCCCCGCAATGTTGCTACCCGCACATTCGTCGGAGCTACGGTCACTTTCACTTTCACTGTCTGTGGTCACAATTTTTTGTTCGCCCCTGCCACACTCACTATCAGATTGTGAGTCGCTATCACTAGCAGACTCACAAGGTAGTCAGCTCATCGGAGAAGAAGTCAGATATTTCTTGTTCTCCAAGAAATTGCTTGGGTGTCAACCGCTTTGGTCTTTGATCCATATTGAACTACTGACTGACAGCTTGCTACGTAAAGCTTGAAGAAATAAAGGCATTTATTTTCCTTTGCAGGGGCATAGAGTTACAGTGAGGTCTAGTAACTGATTGGTCAGCAGACATTCCAGAGCCTTATAACGCAGCTGCAAGCAGCTACATGCTAGCTAGGTGGAGCCAGAGAGATGTATAGTGTGTTGCAACTTATCATGTTTTAAAAACCTGTTAACACGTGAACGGTCCGCCATGTTTAATAGCGAAAAACCTTTTAAAGGGTGTGCGGTCCACAAAGTGTTAATACATTAGACAATGTGGATTCTGAGCAAGAAATCGAGGAATCTCATAAGAGTACTGAGTCTCTTTATGTTTATCTGCTGACTTGTTCAAATTGTAGGTCTGTCTGAGAAACCCATCACATTAACCTAGATGTAACACACATTTCACTTTTTGAAAAATACTTAGATGCATAAAGAAAAGCAATTTACAGTATACTCAGAACTATCGACATAAGAGTTTGTCGGGTTGGTAGCTCATCCTTGCACCTTCTTAGGCTCATTTGCAACTCAGCTCAACTGTCTATGTGCATGATACAACTTCAGAACCACTGGCAGACAGACTTACTTACTCATGGAGCTGAGCCCTTCTGGAGGAGCCGCCAATTCTGCAGCTACTCAAGAAAATCCCAGCATTTTATGGAACCCAAAGGTTCATTACTGTGTTCACAAGGGCCCTCCACTGGTTCCTATCCTGAGCCACATCAATCCAATCCATACCATCCCATTCTATCACTCTTAAGATCCATTTCAATATTGTCCACCCACCTATGCCTTGGTCTTTCCAGTGGTCTCTTTCCTTCTGGCTTTCCACCAATATCTTATATGCATTCCTCATCTTCCCCATTCGTGCTACATGCCCTGCCCACCTCATCCTCCTTGACTTGATCACTCTAATTATACTTGGAGAAGAGTACAAGTTATGAAGCTCCTCATTATGCAGTTTTCTCCAACCTCCTGTCACTTCATCTCTCTTCAGTCCAAATATTCTCCTCAACACCCTGTTCTCAAACACCCTCAGTCTATGTTCCTCCCTTAATGTCAGAGACGAAGTTTCACACCCATACAGAACCACAGGCAAAATTATGGTTTTGTATATTCTAATTTTTATGTTTTTGGATAGCAGATGAGAAGACAAAAGTTCAATCTCCTCTTAATTTCCTCCTGAATCAGGTTTCGATCTGTTATCATTGTTCCCAAATATCTGAACTGTCAATTAAGGTTTGTGTGTTTTTCTTTATGGTTTCTACATTATCACCCAGTAGATTCACATCATCGGTACAGGCCAACAGCTGATGTGTCTCATTTAATTTCAGTCCCACCTGGTTTCCCTGGACCTTCCTAATGGCATATTCTAAAGCAAAGTTGAAAAGGAGTGGCGACAAAGCATCTCCTTGTTTTAGACCATTCTGGATAGGAAATTTATCAGACCTACAGTTTACCTACACAGACTTTACTATACTTTTCATTTAAACACATTTTAATCAACCCAACTAGCTTCATGGGTATTCCAAACTCTACCAGAATATTGTACAATACTTCCCTCCTAACTGAATCATAGGCGTTCTCACTGTACTCCAATTTTTTTCTCCAATATTTGACAAACGCAAAAGATCTGCTCTGTAGTTGATCTGTTGGTCAAACCCACACTGATGATCCCCAATAATTTCATCTATATATGGACTTAACCTTGAGAGAATTATATTGGATAAAATTTTGTATGAAGTTGACAGCAGTGATATCCCCGATAATTACTACAGTCAGTTTTATCACCCTTCTTGTGAACTGGTACAATAATAGAGTCCTTCCACTGATCAGACAATTTTTCCTTATGCCAAATAGAAGTAATTAGCTCATGGATCTTAGAACGTAATATTTTGCCCTAAATTTAATACTGGAGAGTTTCATGAAAAATTGTTAAGTTGCTTCAACTTTAATTTAGATTGTAAAATTCAGACCATTTTATATGATGACTTGCACGCATCATTTCTGCAAGCACATGGAGCTAACTCACTAAATACTTACTGACGTAAAGTGTTTTGAACAAAAGTTATAGAGAAAACTCAAACACACATTTTATGTTCAGCACACTTTTGCCACAAGTTTTACAGTATTCAAAATGATTGGACAATCAAGAAGCCATGTGTACATTTCTGAATTTCTATATTCAGCAATCACCATGGTTTCCCAATCACATCCAAAACTTGGATCATGCATCTCTCTCTCTTCACCAGTAAGATAACCAAGAGTATACTGTATCTGGTTAAATGATATAGTGCAGACATAAATCACCACATACCCTTTGTGTACCACATTCAGGGTAGCCTTGTGCACCACTTATTCTCAGTACATTAGCTGTGCCTCCATTTCCACGGAAAAAGCAGCGGTCATAATATCCATATGTGTATATCCGCCCAATGAAGCCCTCTGGAGTACGCAAAGTGAACTCCATTCCGTCTTCATTGCATGACTGGCTCACTGAAAGTATTTGCAATCTTGAATGAGTAGATGTGACATGAAAGATTTAAAGCCATTTAGCGACTACCCATTAAGAGAATTAGCATGGCTGTGTAATTCCATATCATAATTAGTTACATAACCTTTTTGGGCAACTTTTAAATTAATTTAAACATGTAATTAGTGGATGCTTTACACACTAATGAACATGAAACAACTGAAGCTGTGACGTTCTCACCATCCAGACAGTCCCCTCCACTACGGCCTCCAAATCTCTCATAGAAGTCATAATCTCCTGTGGTCTCAAAATAAGACGGATTGTTGATGTCCAAATCACGAGAATCTCGATCACTCAGCTCGCAGTTTTCTCTCTCAGATCCATATGGAACTGCATAAGCTCTTGAATAATTGATACAAATTTATGATACACAATTTAGTATATACTAAAATAGTCTTTCCTGACTACAGAATACAGTTATGACTTTAATTAGTACTGATTTTAATCAGGTGCAAGATTTTCGTCTTATGTATTTATTACCAAATTATAACATACAATTAAGGTTCAAATTACCTGTAATTGAAAGATCGGCAGACAAATTCCCTAGAATCTGCACACTCTTGTTCACAGAGACGCAATGATGGAACAGACATGAAGCGCCGAACAAATGGCCTTCTCATCCGGAGGCGGACGCCCACCTGAAACAACAATACATTCACATGGGTCATCTATACCATAAACAATGTGGAAAATATATTTAATGGCAGAATTCTATAATTTAAACACACACGCACACATATATAGTGTGACGTGGATGGCGCAACAGGAAGTAGGAGTCATGTGAACTCTGTGTTTCGCCGAGTGACGTCACATACCCCCACTCCTTCCGTCATTACGCAAGGCTTGGTAAACACCCATCTCCACTAGGCTGAAACATCAAGCAACAGGCAAGCCCATGCAGCGACTGTTGCTAGGCAACTGGTAAACATGGTGATTACACAACAGGGAAGTAAGTTGCATTTTCTGCTGTCCGGCTGAAGGTTTATAAGGACACTGGAATGCCTAAGCAGGGCAGTGAAAGTCTAGCATTTGTCAGAGCGGTTGAAATATAGCAGCAGTCACGGAAAGAAGAATGGAACATGTGTTGTACTGAAGATAGTGTGAAGAGATTTGTGAGTAGGGTGTGTAATGTGTGTAAACCTGTAACAGTGTCATAAGTATTTGTAGCTACGACTTGTAGGTTGTTAAATAAACCAATTAACAATCTGAACGACGTCTTCAGTAACAAAGCACGCTACAATATATATATTGTCACGTGTCAGGTGTTTGTAATGTGACAAATAACTTCACGCCATTTTGGATCTAGCGAATTTATTGCACACTCGCTCTTACACTTACGCAGTTCACAATTTCACAATTACTGCCATCGGCAGTATCACAATGACTGCTCCTGCTGTATTGACTTCCATTCACTCAACACAACTCAACAGCAACTGGTAGCTGCTGGACTTCAACTCATACTGAATACTCATACTCAATAGTCATACTCAATACTAGTAACTCTTTTTTTGGTTCTATACTGACGAATACTCCTCTTTATGTAGCTTCTGCACTGACAACACAGAAAAGAGTCACGTTATAGCTACCACTGTCGTGTGACGTCATGTTTACTGACTGCTTAGCAACAGTCTTTGCATGGACTCCCTTGTTGCATGATATCACAGCCTAATGGGGAGGGGTGTTTACCGAGCATTGCGTAGTTACAGGATGAGTGGGGTATGTGACGTCACACACAGTGGGAAGCCAGTGACTAACCACTTGAGCTATGGCGCGGCCCGTTATAGAGGGTTAGTATAATGTTTGTGCCTAAACGCTCACTTCTGAATAGGAATTAGAGTCTAGTAAATGTTCTCAAGGCCTTGGCTTCAGTCATTCCTATATGCAGCCTCCATGAAATGACACTGAGATATTTTACATGATTGACAAAGGGGATATTATTCCCACCGCTGCGGCCCGGGTTCGATCCTGGGTCTGGTCAAGTGGGATTTGTGGTGGACAAAGTGGCGCTGGGGCAGGTTTTCTCTGAGGACCTCAGTTTCCCTTGCCAATCTTCATTCCACCTATTGCTCCACAATCACTGTCACCTATCATCTGGGGCTGTTACAATAGGCCAGAAGTGGCTGCAGTACAAGGGACTTAGTCCCACCCCACTAGCAATACAAAAAAAAGGGGGGGGATATTCCATCCATTCAAAGTAAGATAAGCCTCAAGGGGCATATGTCTATCCTTACATAAAGCCCTACTGGTCCTTGGGGCAAACTTAACAGAAAGCGCTGCTTCCAAGAATTCCCCTACTGTTGCGTGTCTATTTATTGCCTAGCAATGCTTGATTGCTTAGCTGTTACCTAGCAGCAGACAATTTTTTCTGGCACCATTATTCTGGCTTCAGGCCACTATGTTTTTCTTTTTATTGTTAGTGGGGTGGGACTAAGTCCCTTGTACTGCGGCCACTTCTGGCCTATTGTACCAGCCCCAGATGATAGGTGAGGGTGATTGTGGAGCAATTGGTGGAATGAAGAATGGCAGGGGAAACTGAAGTACTTGGAGAAAACCTGTCCCAGCACCACTTTGTCCACCACAAATCCCACTTGACCAGACTCGGGTTTGAACCTGGGCCACCATGGTAGAAAACCAGTGACTAACCACTTGAGCTATGGCGTGGCCTGCAGGTTAGAGCTTAGTCAGATATGTATGGGAGTCTGTGAAGAGGTGACTTGAGCTAGAGGCACAGGAGTAGCCATTGTTGGAGCCGTTGCCAGGAAACGTCTAGTTATAGACTGAGAATACTGGACTGTAAAAGTAAAAGTAAAGCTATCCCTGTAACAGGCTGTGGAGGCCCATAGGGTTGTGAGATCTTGAGGTTCCCACATTTTCTAGACAATCGGCTGAAGTTGGCGGTAAGGTATACATAAATACTTTGAATTTATTTTCCTAACAAAGTAACTGTCAAATATGATAAAATGTACTGTGACATTTAATTCCTTACCTGCCTATAGCTGTCACCTTCATCACATCTTGAGAAAGGTTTTCCTGGACCCCCTGGTCCTCCACCATAGAAGCCATCTCCTCCATATGGACCGCCTGCACCACTCCCGTATCCTGATCCACCATATCCACCATGGCCAGTGCTACCATAGCCACTACTTCCTCCATATCCTCCTCCTCCCCCTCCCCCTCCAAAACCAACAGAGCCACTCCCACCATATGCTCCATAGCTACCTCCTGGATATCCACCCCCTCCTGTTCCTTGTGGGCCACCATATGCATTATAGCCACTGCCCCCACCTCCGAACCCAGGCCCACCATACCCTGCACTTCCTCCATAGCCCCCACTGGCACCATAACTGCCACCTCCTGCACCTGAACACAAAAGAAGGGAACAAACATTATTTGCAAATTCTTCATTTCAAAAGTTTGCAACTGTCTGCAAACTCTTACAGCAGGAAATAGAGGTTAGCTCTAATGATTGGGCCCAACTGAGTAGGTTCCACCTGAAGACAGAAACAAAATCCAGTCTTCAAAACATTGTGTGTTTTCAATAAAAACGGGATGATGGATAATGTTCAGAAACACAGTAACTGCATAAATACGTGGGGCAATCCAAAAGTTCCCGAAATATGTTAATAAAAACTATTACATCTTACCTAGATCTTATTCTGCACCATCACCTTCAAAGTAGTCCCCTTGGGAGCGCATACACCAATCCCAGCATTTCTGCCACTTTTCAAATGCATCCTGGAAGTCTTTCTTTGTTATGGTGTTTAGTACCGTCTGCATTTCCGCTTGAATTTCCTCAACTGTATCAAACTTCGCCCCTTCAACTTGATTTTCATCTTGGGGAAGAGAAAGAAGTCACATGGAGCTAAGTCTGGTGAGTATGATGGGTGGGGAACAACTGTCATCTTGTTTTTAGCCAAAAATTCCTGCACAATGTAAGCCGTATGCGGTCATGCACTGTCATGGTGGAGTACCCAGTCATTTGTGCACCACTTCTCTTGACGTTTTCTCCTCATGTTCTCCCTCAAACGCCTTAGAACATCGCGATAGAATTCTTTATTGACTGACCAGGAGGGACGAACTCCGTATGAACAATCCCGTCAATATCAAAAAACAGATCAACATGGACTTAATGTTGCTTTTGACTTGTCGAGTTTTTTTGGCCGAGGTGAAGAAGGGCTCTTCCATTGCGATGATTGCTGCTTGCTTTCAGGGTCTTAGCCATAAATCCAACTTTCATCACCAGTGACAACCTTCGAAAGAAAATTTGGAGCTGTTGGTGAAGTTCCCTGCAGACTTTCAAGCGATGCTGCTTCTGTTCATTTTGCAGCAGTTGTGGCACAAACTTCGCTGCAAACCTCGTGTTCAGTTCCTCTGACAAAATTCGTTCACATGTTCCATAACTTAGTCCCAAGGTGTTACAGAGGTCTTGGATGGTCAGTCTACGATCTTGCAGAATCAGGTCCCTAACTTTCGAGACATTTTCTGGTGTTTTACCCTTTGACAGCCGTCCTGAACGATAGTCATCATCAGTCGATATTCGGCTATTTTTAAAACTCTTATACCAGTCGTAAGTTTGTGTCTGGCCTAAACTGTTTTCACCAAAAGCTTGCTTCAACATTTGGTGCGTTTCTGCAGTGGTTTTACCAAGTTTGAAACAAAACTTAATACAGACACGCTGCTCTCTCAGGTCAGCCATCGCAAAACCGCAAACTCATGGAAACACAACAATGGAAATACGTTCACCAACAATAAACCCAACCACTCAACTCGACGCCGCTTGCCACACTGATTCAAGAAGGATGTGTGAGGAGACACCTAGAGGTATTTCGATGTACTCATAACCATTCGCGCGCAAAATTCAAATTTTGGAAACTTTTGGATTGCCCCACATATATAAAAGTTTGGTATATAATTGACTGAATCCATATCATTCAGTATAATAAAACATATTCAAAATGTACATTTCTAACCCTTTGCTTGTACTTGACATCTCTGTATATTGTGGTCTAATTACATAATTTAAACTAAATGTAACATATAAACCTAATATTTATTATAGAAATTCATAGCAGTGTTAATTTTTGGTAATGTGATTATTATTTATATTTACCCTCAGCATATACCTTCTGCCCTGTAAATTTAGAGTACAGCCAACTGAACAACAATAACAGCAATAATTCAATTCAATTCAAATTATGTTTATTTATGTGCAATCTTAACAGCACAGAGGCCAATTACAAAGTTAGCATGAAGAGATAGAAATATACAAAAATAATAAAAAAAACAATACAAAATATGATAGTCTGCATTAATTACAAAGTGAGCATGAACAAAGATACAGAAACAGAAGCACACAAACAAAGCCACAATATGACAGCGAAGAACAATTCGAGTTTCAAATAGAGCAGTATACAACAACAATAATAATAATAATAATAATAATAATAATAATAAT